AATTCCTCAGCCAGTCTAGGAGTTGAAGTCCACAAGTCTTAAAGTTGCCAAGGTTGGAGACCACCCCTGGGCTAGAACACTGAAGCTTACCCCCACCATAGACATGAAAGGCTGCTGCATGGCTTTGGGACAGTCATTCTCCCTCAGCCCAACTCACCTCACAGGGCTGTGGGGAAAATAGGAGGAAGGTGTGTTGGATATGTTCACTACCTTGAGTTATTTATAAAAATAATAAAGGCAAGATTAAAATAAAAAATATTCTGTACGTATAGTTTTGTCTGATTTGTTATGTGTTGTGGCCAGTAGATCATGAAGATACTGAAGCATCATGTCATTGGAATTTGAATCGTAGACATTTCATTTCCCAGATTCTGCCTGGGGCCCCAAATGACAGCATTCACGGCAAACCTAGGAATAAAGTCATCTTCTGAGTAACATGCCTTGAAATCACTGCAGAGCTGGTTTGCTCATCAAAATGGGAGCACTAGAGCTTGACAGTTTTCCCTCCGGAAGGGGGAAGGTCTGTGGTGGTATTCTACTGGTTCAGCCCGGTTCTGCTGAGCTGGTAGCAGCGATAACCAGCGGAGACCGAACCGGTTCTCTCCACTGCTTTGCTGTTGGGCCCACCTGCCCGCCTGGGCTCCCATACTCACTTTTATCCTCTGAATTTGAAGCACAGCTGCTTTGCACAGCACAGAAGAGCGTTGCATGGCAGCTGCTGAAGCGACCAGGATCGTGCAGGCTTGCAGGAGGTGAGTTAGAACGCCTCAGTGCCTGCGCAGTGTGCGTTTGGTGCATGCGTGGACACAAAGGGTGCACGCGCGCAAAGCGCATCCACTAAGCCACACCCACTGAACCGGTGGTAAGAATATTTGAATCCCACCACTGGGGAAGGTGTATGTGAGTGTTACAGATTTGGCTGGATAACCACACTATAGATACCAGACTGAATGAATGGTAGACCTTGCTAGTCCTCTGGTAGCTTGCCTTAGAACAGGGCTAGTCAACCTTTTTATACCTACTGCCCACTTTTGTATCTGTTAGTAAGATTTTCTCTAACCGCCCACTGGTTCCACAGTAATGGTGATTTGTAAAGTAGGGAACAAAACCCCTACCGCCCACCATGAAAGCTGGAATGCCCACTAGTGGGCGGTAGGGACCAGGTTGACTACCGCTGCCTTAGAATAAAGAGGACGAGAAAAATAGTAATAACAACTGAACTCCAATGTTCAGGCAGCTAGGCTTACATTGTAGTGGAATGTAGACTTGCAAGTTAGCCTTCCATTGCATTTACTTTCCTCCAGGAAAAAGGAGAAGGTATGAACCTGGGCTGTACATGCTTGCCAGTTTTGTTATTTGGGGGAAGCGGGGTTGAATGCAATATTGATTTATTGAAAATATTTCTGAAGAGTGATAGGAAAAGTCCTTTCTTATCTCCCAGTTTTCCCTCTGAGGAAGGTTGCTAGAAGCATCTTTTAACTGGCTTCTCCATTACTGTCTATGCAGGAATGGAGAGGCTTGTTGAACTGAAGCAGGTAGTAAGTCAAATTTGAAATGAAGCAGATAGTAGTCAAGTGGGAAACAGGAATTGAGAACGCTGTCATAGAGAAGTTGTCAAGTGCCATCTTGTGGCCAGAGAAAAATCCTGCAAACTACTTAATTTGATTTTAATATCAAACTATATGACCCAAAATGGCTGCTGTGGCTGTCAAATTTGTACCCTCCATGCACTGAATAAAATATATATCAATGCAATGAACCTCTGTTGGTTTAATACCCAAACTTTTGTATTACAGATTTTCAGCGAAGCCATCAAACTGAAAGTATTCCTTTAGTTTCAGCACTACCTATACAATAGTCAGGAAATTTTTTGTTAATTCTAATTATATAGGAGCAGGTAAGAATTACTTTTGTTGTGCTTTCAGCAAAACATACATTGAAATACAGACATTTAAAGTGTGACAATTTCCCCATATCTCAGTTTCTAGGGCAACCTTTTTGTTCAAGAAGTCTTCCTGAACCCATATGCATGTTTAACCAACGAAGAGCTACAACTGAACTAAAATTATCAATGTATTCAAATTCAGGCTAAAAAAGATCTGAAGTCATATAAGAAGAATTTCTGCCAGTGTATTTAGATTAAGCCCTGGGGAGAAGGGTCATTAAAATTAATAAATATTAAATATTTAATCCAAATAAAACAGCCATTCTTTCAGAACTGAATTTTCAAGATGATTTGTGGTGTAGATAACTTGGCGCGGCTCATCCCACCTTCCCCAACATTTGCTGAGAAAATGCTGGTGATTCTTTGCCTTTAAATTCCAAAGCCAGCATTTTTTCAACCTTCTTGTGTTGCTTTCAAAAGCGAAGGAGGCACTCATTAAATAAAGGTAGGGCCAAGTGCAGCCAACTATTTTAACAGTCTTTGAAGAAGGGAAGAATGAGGTAGAACCTGATTCTGCATTACCAGATACAATTTGAAAACTGAACTGAATGTAAGGAATACGTGTCCACCTAGGTTGGCCTACATTTCCCATAATCCTTAGCCACCATGATAATTTGCCAGGTTAGCTGGCAATAATGGGCTTGGAAGTGCTACAGGTACTGATAACTATAATCAATTTGCTAGTTTCACCTGCAAAGGCACACGTTCAGACTTAGTGCAATAACAACTGGCGTAAGAAATCTAGCATAAGTGCACAACAGGTGTGGTTAAAAGTAAGGTCATTCTCACTAGCTTTTCATTTGCTTGGAATGCTGCAAGTGGTCTAAACCCTGTAAGCCTAGTTCCCAGACACTACAAAGTGCCAATGTCATTTGCCAGAGTAGCTGCACTGAAAGTGGAAGCATCTAGTTAATGTAGTTAAAATGCCATATAGAGAAAGAGGAGGGTTACTAATCCCCCTCCCCATTGGGGCAATTGGGCCCCAATGAGAAGAATTGATTGTGGAGTAAAAGAAAGGTCATGGATGAAAAGATTATCATTTGCTTTGCCTCATTCTGATTTTTGGAAAAGACTAGAGATCCAATAAAGGGGAATATATGTAGCTCAGGGATAAAATGTAGCATCCTTAGGGTCTGAGCTTGGTTGTTTTCTTGTAGACATTTCATTATCCAAACTAGGGACACATGCATGATCTTACCTAGTTGGCGTGATCAAATGTCTCCAAGAAAACAACTAACTCAGCACCAAGGACCCCTTAAGACTAATAATTGATTCCTTACATTGCTTTAAGTCCTGATGATCAGTTCATCTGCATCATTCCTTATAAATCCACTTCTTTCCAAATTGGCTTTTCAATTTTTGTGTCTCCAATGTGTTCTCTCTGGACTACACTCAGAGCCAGCATCTGGGAGGAGAGCAATGTGCGGGGCAGAAAGATGGAAACCACACCAGGCCTTTGTAAGCAAACACATTGACATTGCATTGTTTTGCATGTACCTATAAAAGGGGAGAGCTCACAGCACAACAGTGCCACACTACTTAGCTATCTTGACAAAAGCAGCAATCTTGTAAATATCCAGAACCACAGCATCTTTGATCATATTCTGTCCCAAACAATAAAGTTAGATGTTCTTTAAAAAAACCAGGTATTTAGAAAGTGTAACTTAGAAAATTCAGCAATAATTTCTGATATACTTTGGCCTCTCTTCATGACAAGCTTTACAACTTTAAGTATGTTTTATAGAGGTGAAGTGTTAATCAGTAAAAGCCCATTAAATCTGTTGTTGATAATTAAGGAAACATTTTCCTGCCAAACTGAGAACGCTAGTGCAAGAAAATAGCTGACCTTGATGCCTGCTTTATCTTGCCTCCTTCTCCAGAATACAAAGGACGTGTTTGTTTAGGGGGAGGCATGGCTAGCTTCAATCTGTTATCACCATTTTTAAACAATAAACATAAGGCCCCACATAACTCACATCCTTCTGCCTTGATTCTGCTAATCATCAGAATATATAAGTATTAGCAGAAGCTTTATGAATTCTCTAAAAATGCTTTGTCAGAAATAGCCATTTTATATACACTATCTATTTTTCATAGGGCTCAAGGTTTAGAATCCTATGTAATAAAACGTAAGTGTTGTAAGGAGACAATTGGTACCCTGAAAGATCTCAGAGTAAAAACCTGTTTTTAAGGTCCTTAAAAATCAGGTTGTCAGGACAGCCACCAAGAAGCCCTCATGGGATGGGAATCCCCAAGACCTTTCTATATGGGTATGAGCTTGTGGGACATATGGGGGGGGGGGGGGGGCAGAATTGTCATGCCACTAAATGCTGGGATCAAGGCATGTTGAGACTTCCAGTCCAGGCAGAGGGCCTCCCTTTGGGGTCTAGGACAAACTGCCACAGCCAACTCACTGCAGCCAACTCAGCCTGGCCAATTAGCCACAGCAACATGCTGAGCCTAACTCATCATGGTCAACTTGCTGCAGGACAAGAATTACATAATATTTAAGAATTGGTGGAATAGAATCATTCAAGAAACGATGCAAAAGGAAGGACAAAATGAAATGTGAATGACAAAAATTAAAATACTTTAAAAAATTATTTTAAATTGGATTGTTGAATTGTCCCACAGCAAGTTGTCCTGGTGTGAGTTGGCCATGGTGAGTTATTCTGTTCCTCTCCCTTCCTTAGCCCTACTCTTCCTGCCTTTTCCTCTGTGCTCTGCAGGGAAAAAGTCTCAGGCCCTGGGAATTATTGCTCTTTCTACCTGTGTGGATTAGATTAATTTAGGGGCACCACTTAACACGGTATGTTAAATAAAATTACCACGTCATTAATTGAGTTCAGATTCCCAATATACTTTGACCCACAATGTACAAATGGAGCCCTTTTTCATACTTTCCACCTGCCCTATTTTTCACAGTAACATTTTTCAGTTGTCTCAGGAAAAGTGCTACAATTCACTCAGGAAACAAGTTCTGCAAAATTGAAAAGGAGAGAAAATACATCATCATCATTCATTCCTAATGCTATAAGGTTGAAAATACATCATCATCATTCATTCCTAATGCTATAAGGTTGACCATCTTTCCATATCAAAACAAAATAATGCAGCTACCGGAAAATAAGTTTTATTTCAGGAAAAGTGATGCTGTATTAATACAAGGACCAACAAAATAATACTGGTTTTTTTTTCCTAAATGCAATTTACAGGGTTTTCTCTTTTCATAAAAGAAAATACACAGAAAATAGAGTATGAACCAAAACAATGAGCATAACTTCTGGCAATTTTTGATCAGTAAGGTTAAAAAAAAAACAGAGGAAAAGCAGGCATGGAATGTGCTTTGTGTTGGTTCACATGTGAGGCTTTTTTATATGACCTGTAACAAGTACAATTTATTATTTATAGCACCATTATTAAATGACAAAAATAAAAAACACACTAAACTAAATGCCAACACATTGTACAAAGGTAACTTATAAAATAGGCTATGATAAAACGAGACATATTGTGTATAACTACAGCATTAATCAACATTCTTATTTTCCAATATGTGTTTTTTCCATGCAGCATGAATAGTGTACACATATGACAATTCTGCAATAGCTCAGCCGTCTTTATTTCAGGATGAATTCAAGCCAGCACCACTTAGAATGAAACATCAAGTGTTTCTTTCTAAGAATACATGATTTGTAATCAGCTGCCTACAGTAATGCAAATACGTCAAGCACCTTTTGTTGTAGTTAATGAGGTGATATAGTGAGGTTACCTGAAGGAAATACAGTACGGATTGGCTTGCAATACCAAGGATATCACAAGCATTCCAGGTATTTTGTTACAGTGGTTGTGCATCATTTCCATGAATAGTCTTCTCTGATAGAAAAATCTAGTTTTTATGATGTGTATGTTAAGTATCAGCACCAAGTTTAAAGTTGAAATTCTGATCATGGTTATTTAAGATAATGTACTATTTTTAATATCTTGCCTAGGGAAAAGAAAGCCCTTGGGTAGTGTAGCACAGTGCTCATTTGATCACATGATTTGTTTTCTAATGCTTTATGGATAATAGGCACAAGACTGAGAGAAAACTTTTTCAATCTATTTGTTTCTGTTCTTTTTTCTAAAATACCTAATACATGTAATAACTCAAATTCATAAAATTGCAAAGGAAAACAAGTGTTTTCTTTTTCCCTTTTAACACAGATTGTTAATTTCTCCATATATTATTGCATTAAAAATAAATAAAATCTCTATTTTTAATTTAGGAACTACAGCAAAATCATCAATATGCTAGAGTGCTTATAGGAAAAGTAACTCACATTTTGTGCCATTTAGTGCCATATATGATTTTTTTAAGCACCACATTTTCTTTTTAAAAAATATATATATTTAAAATTGAGATTATATAGACAATATAGTAATCATTATTGTTGGCATTGTAATCAAGGTTTTTGGTAACAGAAAGGTTGAGGTCTGTTCTTCAGTCTTATTCAGGACAGAAGGATGCAGAGGTCACTATTTGCAATTTTGGGTCTTCTGAAAAAGTAAGTTACCCGACCCCCTTAAAGCTTTCAAAACCAAAGTATATGATACGATACGTGAACAGAAGGGAATCCTTCATGAGGGAAGGAAGGTTTTAATAGAGTTCAATCCAGAGTCTCATTTTAAGAGTTTCTCCAAGTTCTCCTAGGAGGTAGTTGTCCTCATTGCTTTCTTCCAATTTCTTTAGCTCTTCCTTTTTGTACAGAGGAATGCTAACTATTTCCAGTGTGTAAATACCAGCTGTGGCTTTTTTCTTAGCAACCTGAAGATAACTCAGCCCATCTTTCTGGTGTATCCGGAAGGTGCTGTTGTGATTACCAAAGGAGATAATGTAGCGGTTGTGATTTGTGAGGGTCTGTATTGCAGGCATGAGATCTAATATATGTTCTTTATTGCCAAGGCCAGTTACGCTGAATCTCATCTTTAATGGAAGATCAATGTCCAAACTTTCCAAACTGATCTGTTAAACCAGAAATAAAAGGTAAGGACAAAAGGCGTAGGCAAACCTCAATTTTTCTGTTTAGACACTTTTTTTAACCATAGATTATGAATTATTCTAATTTTCCATCATTGCTGCTATCTGGCTCTAGAATGGTATCAAGATCTCCGGTCCAGAAACTGCATTTCAGAGCATGTATGGAAAGCTAGTGGACATCTACCATTCTTCCAGAATATTTCATCCAACATAGATTTTACAGAAATCAGTGTAAATAACATCTTTTGTGCTCTGCTAATTTACTGGGTAATTTATTCAATAGGAAAATATAGAATTTGCATAGGACCTGATCAGAAATATTGATCAACACAGAAGCTGAAGAAGCTTCTTGGATGAGAAGTGAAACATTTTCAAGGAAAAAACAAGGAAGTCCAGTTGCCTTTTGAAAAAGCACCTTTGGGACAATCATGACCTGGATGACTGAGAATTTTCACAGACATTGTTCAACATACTTTTATCATATCACCAAAGCAACCTTTGTCACACACAGACCTTCGGATGTGTGAGATTTCATTTCCTGTTTTGTCAGCTAGTAGGAACAAAGTATACATGAGATGAAGTCCAGTTTATCTAGACTGGGGGTGTGAAATTGGCGGCCCATGGGCCGGATGTGTCACATGCAGGCCACGCCCAACCCAGCTCTGTGGAGGGAAAAAAATCAATACATCTGTCAAGTCTGAATTTAGTTTGGTGGTGAAATTGTATGAATTCAGTTTGACACACTTGAGAAATGGAGTGGGGGAGAACTGAGGTGGATGAAGCTCCAGCCAAAACAACATAGCTGGGTGATGAGTCAGCTGCATTCCAACTGCTGCTCGGCCAGAAGAAGGGGTGAAGTTGCCAGGAAACTATTGCATCTCCTGGTTGGACAATGTGACGTATTGTTTTGGAAAAATGAGAAAATTCTAGCTATAGACATGGAAGCCCAGGAAACTTTCAGTACTGGCTTCCACCAGTTCGTGCCAAGATGTGTAATTAAATAAAATAGTTCTTTGAAGAGTTGCAATGCCTCTGAGTTCATTTTATGATGATTGCATTACTTAGAACCTGACAGCATCATGTGACGGCAACGTGACGCTGCAAGTTTGTCACCCGTGATCTAGAGGGAGGTCAGCATGGCATAATTCCCTCCCCTGATGAGAAAATCTCATTTCACTCTTCTTTTATTTTCATAAAACAATTGTGGGGAAAGCGTGTGTAATATCCACAAATATCTGATAAATTGGAAAGCCTATCACTATGGAGATTTACATCAACTGTGATGCATCTTTTGTGTGATGATCTCTGCATACATTAAGACATTTATACCTTTACCAAAATCATAATTAGGCAAATTATACAAATTGCAGTGAACATTTGATCCGTTGCATACAATTCTATTCCATTATACATAAATTGCAGTTATGATGACTAATGGTGCGAATAACCGTGAAGCATGAAAAAACAGTCAAGAATTGAGAGTGGGATTCAATAGACAAGAACAAAATCATATATTGGATTTATTTTAATTTCTGAGACTCACACGCCATAATTCTAAAATGAATCTAAGTGGCTTATATCAAGTTTAATAAAGTAATCATATGAAGATTAATTTGAAAGAGTTTTTCCAGCATTCCTCAATATTCTGTAGTAAGAGTTTTTTTTCTCTGATTGATTACTCAATAAATTGCAACTGATTGCTCAATCTAATTTCAATTATTTCAATCCAATTATTTTGTTCTGTTTGTATATACAAAATCTCTTTGAAATTGGAAGGGCAGAACTATTCTACATTAGTACTACGCAAACTCATGTAAGAAACTGCTATTGACAGAAACAGTGGGCAAAAGGATATCGCTCTTGATGTTAATAATGTAAGATTATTAGTAGATTCTGACAAATTCAGTGGATGATCTTGCTTAGATCTGGTTTGTTGTTTAGAACAACAAGTGCAAATCAGTTGTGCAGTTTTCGCTTACCTCTGCAGGCTCAGGTTGATTGAGGCTTCTTTTCTTCCTGCTGTCTTTTTGGGAGTATCCATTAATTTTACACTCATAACATGCTTCTGGGGACAAAGCATTCTCTTCACCTTGATCCACTGGAAGATACTGGCCTTTACTAAATCCCATACTGGAGACACAGTGCCTGATAAACAATGTCATAATATTAGCACCTGGAGAAAGAAGACGTTTTTGTTGCCAGGTTGCTAGTTCATAAGAGAAATGAGTGATTTGTTAGGCAGATAAAAACACAAGTGTTATCATTTTGTACAAACAAAATGCATACTTTAACTGTGCATTTCCTTCTCAATGTTTTCAATCTTTTACTTTTCACCTTTGTTAGTAAGTTAGCTTCAGGAAGGGATTTATTCCTTTCTAAATTTTTATGTATATTACATACGTATTAAAACAAAACAAAACAAAACAAAACAAAACAAAAGCAGCGTCACAAATACAAATAGAACAAAAGTTTGTAAGGCAAAGGAATAAATTTCCAATTTTTTTTTGCAGTGACAGAAAAGTGATCAGATGACTGTGGACATGGTGTAAGGAAAGAAACTTCTAGGATCGGATCAGAATGATTCAATTCATGGAACAATGGTGGAGAGGAGACATAGGATACCTCAGAAAATAGTTTAGGCAGCAAAAAACTCTTCTGATTAAATCTACTCCTCCAGCTTTTTTGTCAGTGGTGGTTTTATACTGGATTTGATCCATACATTTCATTTTCATCCAATCTGAATTACACACTGTAAACTCTGTATAGTTGTAATGTAAACACTATGGCTACCATCATATTCAGTTTCATAAATATTTCATGTTTAAGCAAGAAGTATATGATTTGTCTTACAAAAACATAACTGGAGCAAATGTGTCTAACTGGCTGGTAGTATTGCTTTAAAAAGTGGTGATAATCAGCACTGAATTGTGATTGACTTGGACAGATGTTACACATATATTCCTTTTTTGTGGAGGTACAAATATAGTTTCTCTCTATTGTTTTTAACATTCAATCTTTCATGAAAGCATAACATGAAATCAGAGATCACAGATCAGAGATTTCCCTAGTAGAAAATATTAACTATTTATTAATGAATTGAGATTTGACTCTTCCAAGATAGCAGAAATTGCTTCGTACAAAAATATATTAGTTGCTCACAGTTTTGTAAAAGATGCAGGAAGAGTTTGCCATCATCAACTACTCACCCTTGCCCTGCTCTGTAATACCCTGGAGGGCAGCCACAGAGGTATCCGCCTTCAGTATTGGAACAGCCATAATTGCAGGGATTTTTGGTAGAAGAACATTCATTGACATCGTGGCATGCGCTACTGAGCTGATCATAAGAGAATCCAGAGGGACATGCACATTTGTAGCTTCCAAGAGTGTTGTAGCATGAAGCTGAACCACAAATGCTAGGATTTGAGCATTCATTTTCATCTGTTGGGCAATTAAAAACATACTTTTTTAAGTATACAGATTTTATAAAGGGAGAGCTTGTTACAATAGTGACTAATTTCCAAGGCTAATAAATGTAATTCCTAGTTTTCTTTTTTAAGATTGGCATACAGGGGTTGTTGGCATAACAACTAGCAACATGAAGGATTAAATGATATAAAATAAACTATTTTGGTGTTTCTGTATAGCATTTTTATTCTCTGCCGTATATCATTAATTCTAGCACTTTTTATGCAAAGTGAGTTTCTTACCTACACACTGATTCCACTGATAATGCTGGATATATCCATGTGGGCAGCTGCATCTGTAGCCACCAAGAATATTTTGGCAACCATGTTGGCATCTGTGATTTCCTTCACACTCATCCATATCTGTAAGTAAAGATATTAATACAAAGAAAAAGATAAAAGAATACAGTAGTAAATAATTTGCTAAATTTTGTGTATATATGTTTAGAAAAACAATTCTATATCACTCAATGACATTTTCTTGTGAGTTTATATGCAAAATATTTTTTATTAAAGTTTTTATTAGTAGCAAAGTAGATTCAAGCTGTAAAAATCCTCTGCAACCACTATAAGGCAGGGGAAAAAGCGCTTCAGTTTTCTCTTCCCACTTAAGGATAATTATGAATCCAAGGTCAGGAGGACAGCCCTACCCTTAGCCATTGAGTATTTAGGAGAAGCAGCTGCTTTATTGAGGGTGGGGATGGGAATAACAATTGTACATGGTTAGCTAGAAAGTTCAGTTTACTTTACTTGTTGGCTATGGAAAAAGAGGACAACACTCAGGTAAATAAAAGGATAGAAGAGTTATGACATACGTTGTACATTTCAGCCACTTTTTAATTTTTTTTCTCTTTTATTCATTTTTTTGTTGAATTAGTAGGACATCTCATTCTAGAGGACTCTAGAAAGCTTGATGAAATTAAATTAGCAGTAAAATACAAAACAACTAAAGCAATCCATTAAGAAGCAAAAACACTCTGTTCTTCACAGTGCTCAGACCAACAGCAATATGGATGGGCTCAGTTACTATGGGAACTGAAGGACCATGTTAGGGTAGACTGTCATCAATTTATGTAGTAGAGAAAATCTATCCATGTGGAAGCTAGAAATTGAAGACAAGTTGATGGCACATAATCAAAAATTCAATAATGATCTCCAATCTATATTTCAGTAGCTAAATGAAAAAATTCCAATTACACTAAGAATTAATAATCACATGATAAACCTAACAGAGACAAATATGATTATTAAGTAATGACTGGCAATTTCCAGAAATACCTCTTCAGTATGTAACTTATGACACTCACAGTTTTCACAACTGATTGATTACCTTCACAGTTCAATCCAGTGGAATCTAAAGAGAAACCTCTTTGGCATTCACAGGCAAAACTTCCAGGAGTATTCTGACAGATTCCTTTTGATCCACAAAGTGAAGGCTGTGATCCACATTCATTATTATCTACAAAATGACATTTCATTTTTTATAAATCAGATACCAAAAGAAAAATAAAGAATGCTATGTTTGAATTTTTTGTGCAACTGTATTCATGTTTGATATTCTTGGTATCATAAAGACATGCTCTCAATTTTAAATATTATCAAGGCTTTTAACATTCATTATACCTATTGTACCTATTGCATACTATTGATGCAAACAATACAGGAAAATTATGGTTTCATTTTGAGAATGTTTCACAATTTCCCTCCACATGAAAGAAGTTACAAATAGCAAGGGATATATGATAAAGATCAATAAATGGAAAGATATATGTCAAGTGGAATTGATCCAATTCTTATCTTAATGTTTCTCTTATTAAATCATATTAATTTGATTATTAATCTTATTACTAGGCCTGTTTGTTGCTAAGGAGATGAGAAATGTAACATGTTTTTCATCAAACAAAAACCAACAATGTTAACTTCTTACCTATACAGGCCGTATGATGTTGCGTGAAACCTGGTGGACATTTACATGTGAATCCCCCCAAGGTATTGACACAAAGGAATTGACAGTTATGTTGTTTAGTTTGACATTCATCAAGATCTGAAAAAATACGGTGTTTATTTCTTTAAAAATGAAGGCAACATAATTATTTAATCTAATATTTAATAACACTGTTAGAGCAATCTAAGTTGCTTTTAAATGCAGTGAATTAGCTAAAAGGCTCTCTTTGATTCAACACAAAAAATTCTACAATGTAAATGCCACCCCGTACATGCAGAATCACAATGGATATACCAAAAGGCTGGAGCTTGTCCTACAATGGTAGGCCACTCATTGATTGCATCATTTGAGTAGCCACCCCCACTCTACCATAGATATGTTCCTCATCCATTTTGTGTAGAAAAATCCAATTTCTCTGGCTTTCTCATAAATTGTCCTTTTTGGGAATTCTCAAGATCCTAATTTTGTTACTACCCCATATTGTGTGTTGCCCTGTATTGTTTTCAGAGAAGTGGATGCTGGCAATTGGCCTGCTGTCATTTGGGCAGATAGTGAGTTTGGTGAGGGTTTCCCTTTGTAATGGGTCAGGTGTGACGGAAATGGCATCCCCGCAAAAGCATAAAAAAATGCAGGGCTCCCTGAGCAATACTTCCTTAGGATTTGTGTATAGAGAGGCATCTTTAATACCCACAAAATTTCTAAGAATGGAATAATGGCACAGGCTTTACACATCTGCCCATAGAGCTGGATTATATATAAAGAATTCAATATAGGTGTAACTGAACTCCATGATTTTATCATTATTTTCTTTAAAGATGTTTCGCTTCTCATCCAAGAAGCTTCTTCAACTCTCTGAAGATGAAGAGCTGAAGAAGCTTCTTGGATGAGAAGAAAAACATCTTCAAAGAAAAACCAGAAAGTCCAGTTGCCTCTTGAAAAAGCACCTTTGGGATTGAATCAAATGGGCCACATTTAATATTATTGTTTTGATAGTTGATATAAAACATGACTGTATCACATAAGAATAAATTAATTGGTTAGAAAATCCACTAAGTTATTCAATCTTTTACCTCTACAGGATTTTCCATCATCTTGGAGGATATAGCCACGTGGACATGAACATTGGTAGCTTCCTTCAGTATTCTTGCAGATAAAATTGCATGGTTTGGGAGACTGGGAGCATTCATCAAGATCTAATTACAAGAATAATTCATATTCAGGTTTAATTTATTCCATTGCATTGGATTCAAAATAAAACTAGGGGGCAATGCCTAATAGATTAAAAATTATTTAAAACATATGGCTAAAGACAAGATTCATCAGTGCAAAAAGGTCAATCAACTTGATAGTCAGTAAGAATTTTGAAGTTCTTACTTAGTAATGAAAAGAAATCTTTCAGCTCAATTCAGAGTTCTGCATTTGCAATTAGATTTGAAAAAAATTGAGAAAAAATATTTCATGAAAGTTTAAACTCACAATATCAATTTTACAATTCATATAGGAAGTTATGTAAGTTTAAGTCCCAAATTTTCACATTATAAACCACATCTTCCAATCTTTCATTAAAAAAAGTATTTCCAAAGGCACTGGAAGAAAATACTACCTTGCTTAAAGTAATTTATGGCATTAATTCTACTTGCCAATTCCAAGCTTTGGGTCTCTACAGAACAAGAACACTATGTTAAAAGGCGTTAAGTTACTGTTTCTATTGACATGAGACAGTCTTGAATCAGAAATATAATTGAAGGGAAATTTCTATATCTGATGAAAAAATAAATACAAAGTTTGAGGCTTTATAGCACGATATTTTAAGTAATAAAATGGAAACTGTAACAAATTATAATATAGATATAATAATATAATGTAATACAATATAGAAGTAACAATAAGAGCTATAACTTACCCACACAAGAAGTACCACTTATGTCAGTAGTATAGCCAACTTTGCAAAAACATCTGAAGGAACCCATGGTGTTTATGCATTGTCCATTTCTACATAAATTTGGCATGACCTTACACTCATCAATATCTATGGAATAAAAAATACGCTGTGTTTTTTATTTTGGCATGTAATAGCTTGCAGTTAAATATATGATGCCATTAAACAAATATAAATTAATTAAATAGCCATAATCCTATGAGTTTTTTGTAGATGTCAAAGTGTAATACCTTTCTGTCTATGGGCAAAATGATTCATCAGCAGAGAAGCCAGCACTGTTTTAGCCAGACTGAAAATGAGGCTATACTAAGTTAAAAAGCTTCTGAAAAATTCAGGATATTTTTTTTTTATAAATAAATACTCTCAGTATAACCGTCCTTTCTTCCCCCAAAACCTCAGCAGAACTTTGCTACTTCTGTCTCACTCATAGCCTAGATTATCCTAAATTGTTTAAGAATTTCACTTTATAGTATTTCAATATGATACCTATTAGTTTGATTCACAAGAATTAGTATCAATTGTTTAAATGCTACTAGAATATTAAAACATGGAAGAGATATGCAAAAGAAATGCCAATTTTGGATGGTTCACTTCTATAGAGAAACAGCATGTTTTAAGCAGAAGTGATTGAAGGGGGGAAAGCAGGGAAAAGCCAAGACCAGTAGCAGCAGTCTACTGGGTATTCTATAAACATGTTGTATGTTCTTTTGAGATTGGGAAGGTTAGACAATTTATTAACAATAGATTTTCTATGTTTATCAATAAATAATCTCTATAATCTAAATCAATAGAAACAATCCATTTTAATTACTAATTAAATAGGAAAATTTCACTGCAAGTGAAATTGTTTGCGAAGGAATACAGCTAAAGTACACCACAATATTCTTCCATTTTCAAAATATGGAGTATCCTTAGGGATACTAAGGCAATATTAATACCTCTTCAGCTACCTACCACCCTATAGTTAGAAAAAGGAAACTTGTCTGAAGGTTCCATGAAGAGTACCTCTCCCATCAGTGGTGTATCCTGGACCATGTGGACACAGCTTCTTATATTGAGTGGTTACTAGAAGTGGGCAAATCTCACATTGATTGCCCCACCCTCTTCCACCATCACAACAGCATTCTGATTTGGTGACAAGATTACGGCTACTGGAAGCCATTTGACACATTGTCTGCAAGACTTCAGCAAAGCAGAAACCTTGTCGGTTGTCTGGAAAAATATTTTCATAAAAACAGCATCTAAATATATATTTTATGAAATAAAATGAAGATTTTTAGCTATGATAACAGCTTAGCAGTTTATATATAATAACTTTTAACTCAAAACATTTGATTGTTTATCTCAAATCATTTGATAATTTATATCTCTTACATCAAAGTAATTTTTAAAAAATGATTGTAGCATGCTATTAATAATAAAGCTAGTAAAGATTGATTTTTGTGGGAAAAAAACCCATTTTATATTGCAAACAGATATCTTTATTCTTGTTAGAAGCACCTATAAACTATAGACAAACAGACATAGAAATTAAGGAATATAAATTTACTTGCCAATGCATTCAATTCCAGATGGGCTTGACTGGAAACCTTCATTACACTCACATATGTAACTTCCAATAATGTTTATACAACGACCATTTTCACAGATACCCGGCTTACTGTGGCATTCATTTTCATCTTGATTACAAGAAAATAAACAAATAAAAAATGAAATAGCATAAAAGCAAAAAGAGTAACAGTAATTCCCACAATTCAAACAATTCAAAATGAAAGCTACGCTTCTGATTATAGCCAATTAAAATACATTTCTAAGCCTGAGAAAGACAGTTATATTGAGTGTAAAAATATGATATGATTTTAATTCTTATAAGTTTATATTTCTAACATTTCAATGAGAGCGGGTTTTTTGGAAGGAGAGAGAGATAAGAATTACTGCATGACAGGGATCTGCACCTGCTTTGATACAAATATATGTAAAATTGTTGAAAAAATGTAAAATTGCTGAAAAAAATGGTAAATAGTCAGATTAGAGTGAAGGATGCACTTATTTGAATAACTACTTGAAGCTTTAGCTGGATTAAATAGATATAAATTTTGTTTTAGCATGTAAATAATATAAGATCATGTAATTTCTAATAAAAATATTTTAAATTGACCATTTTTCATGATATTTATAGCTATGTAGTAAAAGCAGTGCATTTTACATATTACAAAATTTTCATGTTTATTTTTTCAGGCATCTTAAACTACAAGGTACAAATCTACTAAGAGCTGATAAAATATGCCAGTTTTGTTTGTTTTCCAGCAACAGCACCGCGATAATGTTATTACAATTCATTCTCACATGACAATTTATAATGATTCAATACATTCTAACCATAATATATGTAAGCCTTTTATTATGAGTTTCCTTTGTGAAATATAGATTATTTATTTTTACAATTCTAAATTGACTTGGTAATGTTCTCCTCCCTAGTAGTCATGGGAATTAAAACCCCAGAGGTTGTCAGGCATAATTATACATAGTCTTGGCATGAAACTATATCAGTATATTCAATTATACCATGTTAAATCCTTAAGGTCTGGCCTTAGTTTCTAAAATGTGGAACTTGTAGAAGTCTTGTTACCAGCTACTGCCTATGAAAAAGCCTTTTTTGCATTTGTATTATAATATATTATATTATATTATAATATATTATATATTATATTATTAGTATTATATTATATTTGTATTCTTTAGCTGCTTCTCTAATAATGATAAATATCATCTAATTGATGATAATTGTACACAATTATAATTGTACACAATTATAATGCCTAACAATAAAATACACAATATTAAAAACTATCACTGTCTAAGAATGAAATATTAAATCAAACTGTTTGCTTTTAATTTAATTACAGAGAACAAAGTACCTAGTTTTGGTACCTACCAATGCAACCTTCTCCATCTGGTCTTCGAGTCATTCCAGGGGGACATATGCACATGAAGGTTCCAATCAGATTTTTGCATATCATGCCTCTTGATTCACAGTCATGTAGACCCTCTGCACATTCATCAAGATCTTTCCAGAAGGCAAAATAATATAAATGTTAGGAAACAGACCTATGTTTTCTTAATACCAGAGCTAATTGGAAATTGAATGGCATCCACATTCTTGTAGCCTTATCAACAGCCAAACTGAAATATAATGTAGCAATTCAATCATTTATGAGCAACAATATTTTTAATTAATACCAAAGTTAATTCTATGTTTTATTATTTTATACATTCTGCGTACGTTCTTTAATACTCAGTTCCATCTTTCATACAAGATGACAAAATTATAGCAATAGTGTTTGCTTCTAAAGTAAATTGTCATGCTTCAAATGTATGCTTTACAGAATACATTGTTCTATAAAATTCTATTGGCAAAAGTACTGTTAAGGTGTCAATATGCTAAAGAGATTCTGACCTTTGCACATTTTCTGGTCTTCTCTTAATTCATATCCCACTGGACAGGTGCATTCATAAAACCCATAAGTATTTATACAGCGAAAAGCACAAAGCAAAGGATTTTGTGCACATTCATTTATATCTAAGCAAGACAAAACAGAATAATACACTTGCATTTAATAATATACTTATAATTTATAATTAATCATTTTCATACATTTCCTAATGCTCTTTGTGGTGCAGTTATGTATGGAAAGATTTTGGGATAAGATTTAATGAAGTACTTTCTCAACAAACAAAATGTAGCATATTAGTCACACATGGATTTATTATTTCTAGAATAAAGTAACTAGCATTATTATCTAACAATATTATTTAAAACATTAAAACAATAAAACATATTTAGAACAAAAAAATAGAGAAGAGCATATTACCGAGATTGGTAAAATGAGCACCCAGATTGTTGGGGGCAACATACTGACTTTGTAAATCACTTATAGAAGGCTGTAGAGCAGTATATAATTCTAAGTGCTATCCTAGTAATAATAGACAGATCTCACTAGTTCACCAGTCTCCTGAAGTCCCTAGGCCTTATGGCTGATGAAGATTAATACATTTTACTTTCTCAAGCCCATTCTACATGCAGAAATGCAGAGGCGTGTGATTCATTGCTGCTATTTGTGTTCCTGCTAAATTGTGGAGGTTCTGGCCATCAGAAGCTGAATTGATTAATTCCAGGCAGTTATAACAATACAATTAATTAGAAACCGGCTACAGTCCTATCTTCTTCTTTTTCTCTTTTACATATAAGTACCGGGAGCAGGCTAGCTGTTGAAATACATTCTTCACGTGTATAAAAATCATACTCTAACTTACCCTCACAATTCATCATTGGCCCAGGTTCAAATCCATCCAAGCAATTGCATTCAAAACTACCGATCACATTGGAACATGTGCCATTTCCACAAGGATTACCAATGGAGCATTCATCAGTATCTAAAATATAATACGCCGAACAAGTATTTTAAAACTGAAATTTAAGCCAAATTTATAAACTTTAGGGGTGACAAAACATGCAATATATAAACAACGTGCAGTATAGAATTAGCACACACCTACACATTGCACTCCAGTGTAGTCAAGGTTATACCCCAAGGGACATTCACAACGGAATGATCCATCAGTGTTTATGCAGTGTCCATTGGAACAAATACCAGGATTCTCCAGACATTCATTGACATCTAAAGGAAAAAGTTATGTTCAAATCTTTATTCTCTATCAAAATTTCAGTGTACTATTACTGAATAATGGAATTTCATGTTTTTTGTTAAAATTAGTCAGTAAAAAAGAAAAAAGCTTTAATATACTACACATTTTTAAATATATTATCTGGTCATCATTTTCATTACATTTTTATTCATAAAGTAAGTTTCAAGAGCATAAAAAATATCCTTTCAGGGATTTGCCAGATTTATTCTCATTAGACATTTTTGAAAATATTTTAAATTTGATTGGAAGTTAACACAGGATGTACATGTGATTAGCTAACTTTTGGTGCAGTATTTTTATAGATTTATATTTTAAAATGTGAAATGTTAACTGTTTAGCATTTTGGTATCAAATGTTAACTAGACCAAGGATATATACCATGTTTCTCCAACAATACAGCCTCCTCCAATAGGAAGTCCCAGCATGCTTTATAGGCATAAAATTAAATTAAGCCCCTCCCCCCCAAATTAAGGCCTATATTAAACATGCAAAATGGGGGGGAATGGTGGGGGGAGCTGGCCATTAGGAAGTACTTTTGTTGCATACCCGGATTTGGTGCTGCCTGCGTTGACCTCTGCATTGGTGGGGCACTTCGTATCGGGAGACATTCTGCTGTTGCTTTCCCTTCTGCCCGTGCTGCCGCGGCGTTTGGCGCAGCCATGCACAGCCAGCCAGGGCTCCTCCCTGCAACCAGAGCCCGGCGGAGACACTCGGCTTCAGGCGCTCCTGTTGCTGCCTTCCCTTTGTCTTCGGAGGCAAAGCCAATTCTTTTAAAAACGATGCCCTACTACCGGTACGACAAAGACTCCCCGAGACGGCAGCCCAACCCCACATGGGGAGGCGAATCTCCCGGAGCCACAGCACAGGATCGGCCCACCCTGGGAGAAGCGCCCAGCTGCCATCCTTGGCTGGCACTGGGCAGAGGGCGAAGAGCTTTGCCTGGGGTGCCCAGCACAGCTGACAGGCGGGCCCTCCTGCCCGGTGGCGGAGCTCTTGCCAAGGCAGCGAGCACCTCCCTCCTGGACCCTCCGCCAGAGACATGCAGGCTGGGCAGAGCCGGGAAAGCGAGCAGTGGGTGCATACCTGCCTGCCAAGCAAAAGAGCCTGGCCTCCCCAAGCTTGGCTTCCTTCCGAAGTCCCTCAAAGCCCGAACCCGAACGGGCCACTGGGAGAGGCTGCCCGAGACAATGATAGCACCCACCCGTCCATGGACAGGGAGGCGAGGCATCAGCAGCGCTGCTTCCCTGGCCGGCGGGTCCGGCGGAGAAAGTTCGAAGCCACCCGTCCTTTCTACCCTTCGCCCAGCCCGTCCCCACACATCTCCAAATGCGCCGGCAGCTCCAAAGGCTGCAGCAGCATGGGCATCGGGCAGAGAAGCTCACTCAGCGGGGCTCAGCTCGGAGGACGAGGCATAGGCAATCGCCTTGCCTCCCTGTCCACAGATGGGTGGGTGCTATAACTGCCTCAGGTGCCTCTCCCAGTGGCCCCTTCGGGTTCAGGCTGGAGGGACTTCAGAAAGAAGCCAAGCTTGGGTCGGCCTGACTCTTTTGCTTGGCAGGCGGGCGGGCACCTGCAGCTCGCTTTCCGGCTCTGTCCAGCCTGCATGGCTCTGGCAGGATGAGCAGAGGGTCTGGCAGGGAGGCGCTCGCTGCCTTGGCAAGAGCTCCGTCACCGGGCAGGACAGCCCATCTGTCAGCTGCTCTGGGCACCCCAGGTGAAGCTCTTTGCGCTCTGCCCGGCGCCAGGCAGGGATGGCGGCTGGACCTTTCTCCCAGGCTGGGCCGATCGTGCGCTGTGGCCCCGGGAGATTCGCCTCCCCACGTGGGGTTGGGCTGCCGTCTCGGGCAGGGGAGTCTTTGTCATACCGGTAGTAGGGCATTGTTTTTAAAAGAATTGGCTTTACCTTCGAAGGCGAAGGGAAGGCGACAACAGGAGCGCCTGAAGCGGAGTATTTCCGCTGGGCTCCGGTTGCAGGAAGGAGCCCTAGCTGGGTGCGCATGGCTGCGCCAAATGCCGCGGCATTGTTCTAAATGCCGCGGCAGTACGGGGAGAAGAGAAAGCAAGGGTGGCGGAAGGTTTCCCGATATGAAGTGCCCCACCAACGCCAAGGTCAGCATCCAAGTCGTCGCTGCCCACCCGCCCGAGGATGCAAGGGGGGAAATTAAGTCACCCCCCAAAAGACAGCCTAGCCGTTTTTGGGGGGGGTCAAAAAAAAATAAGGCCTGGCCTTATTTTGTGAGAAACACGGTATATATATATTTAAGTATTTATTAAATTTGTTTTATACATTAGACTTTAATTTTATATTAAGCAACTTTAATTTTTAGTACAATAAATGGGATATAACAATTTATTTATGAATGATATAATCCAGCATTAGCTATAGTAATACTAAACAACATTGTACTACCTTATAATAATTCTGTACTTAAGAGGCAGAGAAGCTTTCTTGAATAAAATTTATGTTCACTTCCCTCAGTTAAGTATATCAATAATATTTTAAAAGAGTTCCATCCAATACACAATTTCGTTTATTATATAAAACAAGAGGTGAATAGTGATATTTAGTGGAGTGATAATGAAAGAAATTAGTACCTTCTCGTGTATCATCTATTCCAGGTATTGTTCCATGGCCAAATGGACACAGATCCTGAAAAGCAACTGTTAAAGAAAATTTTTGGAACACCACTACTAAGGAGAGAATATACAAAGCAATATTTTAAACTCTTTAGTGTGAGTTAAATTTTTCAACAAATTTTCCAATTGCTTTTATATAAGGAATTCAACTAAACAGAGAGTACGTTCATAATGTAATCAGTAATTATAGCTGTAATACTACTCAGGATCTAGTATAAGATGATAATAAAAACAGATGAAGACAGTTTTTTTATGATAGGTTCCAACTCATGTTTTTCTACTTCCAATTTTATATGATGACTTGATGAGTGAGATCCAGTATTTTAATTTAGGATGTGGTTTTATAAATGGAGTCACTATGTATTATTGGCTTCATGTTTCATTTTTTGCTTTTCTTGAAAAGCTTTGCAATGTTTTTACTACCTTCTTCTTCTTTAGGACACAGTTCACATGGATCACCCCAACCTTCTCCTGGCATCTTGCTGCAACAACATTTTGCCTTGGTGGTATTAAATGCTTTTGGCACAGAGCACTTCCCATTCTCAAAGTTAGTGAAACAGAAGCTCTGTCGAGTATCTGAGAGAAAGCAAAAGTCATACCACTGTAATTAATCCCATATTAAGAATGAATTAATCCAGGCTTCTTACTTGGAAATATTCCAATTTAAGACTCTTTTCATCAATAGGAAATAGTAACTCGCCATACATTGCCATGTTTTTGATCAAGCCCTAACATAGATAATAATAATAGATAATAATAGATAATAATTTGCACTAATCACAATTAACTTTAGTCCTAATTATAGTTATTTAGTACATACTTAATTAGTAACAATTACTTTTTTATCCAACCCTATATTATGAAACCTGCTGAGATTTCTTTTAAATGTTTATTTGCTTAATTTTTAAAAGGGCATGACAGTTGAATTTGTTACGCTTCCTCTTCGTAACTATATAATTAGTTATTTTAATGATCCTTTTAATTAGTCTTATCAAAATTTTAAAATAGTAAGGGGAGATAGAAATGGTATTATTCAATAAGAATCAAGATTCCATATTGTTGTTAATTTAATCACTCATATTATTTGAGTTTATTTATTATTACCAGTTATAAACAATATACTTACCAAAACATCTCCTGCCATTGTCAGATATTACAAAACCGGGAGGGCAGATGCACTGAAATCCTCCTGGAGTATTAGTGCAGGATCCAAACAGGCAGATGTTAGGATCCTCATTACATTCATCAATATCTGAAAATATAATTAAAACATTAAATATTTTCTTATTGAAATCCTTTGTGCCAGAGAGTGGCTGGAAAATGTTGTAATTGTCAAGGTACCATATGTTAAATGAAATTTTAATATCACATGTATCTTAGATTAAAAACATTTTGTTTTATTTGTTTGCTTCAAATACTGTTTTGAAAGATAATTAACAAAGGCACTTTTTGCTGGATATAAAAATAGCAACCATCTCATACATATAGGTTTATAAAATACCTAGTTACAACCTCCTGAGTTGCAAAAAGTCACCATCAAAAAACAAGTCACTTGTAAATAATGCGAGTACAGACCAAACAGGAAATTTGTGATGATCCAAGGTTTGCTGACTACAATTTCCATAAGATTTATTCAGCATGGGAACAACATCTGAAAGATCATGTTACTTAAACATGAAGATCAGTATGTTCCTGGTATCACAGAACAATCACACACACACACACACATGCCTGTGTGTATAGTACAATACTTAAATTTTATTTCCATAAACAGCTTTGTTACCATGCAAACCGCCTCCAGAGAGAAAAGGCAGCCTTACCAATGCAGCTTTCACTTTTTACTTCATATCCTGGTGGGCAGATACATCTGAATGATCCTTCCAAATTCTGACATGTCCCAGGAAAGCATGAGCCAGGTAGCACTACACACTCATTAATATCTCAATAGAATGGAGGGGAAAAAGTGGCAATTTAAGGATTCAGAGTTGAATTTATTTCTTAAATTTATATTCTGTCTGTCATCCTAGAAAGCAAGATTCATTATTTGTCCATAACAGAAGCATAAATAGATATAGCTGAACTGTCCCATAATCACTTAATGGGTCTCATAGATATGGATAAATGTTAATTTCTAGTCATAGTTCAGTATTTTTACTGCTGCACCATAAAATATATAGGCACAATAGCCAATTGTACACAAATTCATCGAACTTCTCCCAATTTCTATCACTGATTCACTGAATTCTTTTATAGTAGGTTCATCTAAGAAAGAGTCATAGCTGAAAGAACCGTTAAATCTGCAGGTGAAAAAAGTATATCTAATGTTAAAAGCAGCCCCTGAAGATAGTGCATAATCAAATCTCTTGCATGGAAATTTAATGGCATATATATCCTACAGAAATTAAGCTACTTCAAATCTGCATCCCAAATAGCTAAATGTTGGGCAGCCAATAAATTTAAATCAACACATAAATAAAATACACAGTTTTTGTGTGGTGCCTAAAAATCAGGAGGAATATTATAATATATATATAAAAGTATATTCCACAATGTCCAGTGCAGCTGATTAAATGTGCATTACACATTGTAGTAGCATAGGGCACTCCATAATTGCTTTTATACATACCAATACAGTTTTTGCCATCTGGAGTAAGTTCATAACCTTCATTACATAAACATTTGAAAGAACCAATTTCATTAAAGCATCTTCCATTTCTGCACACCTGCCCAAAGAAGGAACTGCACTCATCAATATCTATAAATAACCAAGAAAAAGTTAGAGATTTCTCACAAGCTCAAGGTCCTTGTATATAAAAAACTAATCTCTCGAGCACTTTAACGTATATGGATTATTTAAGAACAAATATTACTAGACAGAACTTTATTTTTTAATATTTCATACATCAAAGAAATCTATTCAAAAAGACCAGAAATATTTGTATATAAATTTTATCTTCATCTTTAGTGCATATACAAAAGCCAATATGGCTGCCACACTTTATGGCAGAATGACAAAGGGAGTGACTAAGTCTTTGACTGAAGCAAAGGAATTTTTCAAGTCTTTGTACATAGCCCTAATAACCAGCATCAGGTACTTTATCCAATTCAAGAAAACTCTAGGTACAGGAAGAGTTAAATTGAATTGAAACAGTCCATTCATATTCACCTATTGGATAATGGAAAATGAGAAGAGTGTTTCAGTTTAGCAGAAGAAAGAAAATCTTCCAATTTGCGGGGAGGCATTGGTTGAGCAAATGGATAGCACTATTATACTCTGGTTGATATTTTAACTACCGGCTGGGAATAAGCTGGAGGGATATGGCAGCAAATCAGAGGATAAGCACAATCACCTTGTCTAGCTACCTGGCACACCTACAAACCAAGACATCTCAGTTTGGCAGTGATATTAAATAGATGCAACAGAGACAGGGCCTCACTGGCAATGGGGAGTACAAATATAGTTTATGTTGATATATGAAAAAGAGGTTAACACTGTAACTCAATAGTGGAGATAGTACTCTGTGGAATTCTACAATAGAGATGCCAGAAGTACAACCATGTAATTCTACTCTCTGAAACCATCCATGGTAAAACATCGCAATCTCCACCACAGAAATGATTCCAAAGATTTTGTGCTTAGTGCTAAAAGTTCAAGCAGGATCAGCATTGCACTCCTTTTATTTCTCTCCAACAAAAGGAAATCTATCAGGCAATTAGGGCCAATTTTATTCTCAAATCTGTCTAAATCCAGACAGCAACTGCTTAGCAACCACATTCTTGGATAATTTGCCCCCCTCCCATTAAGTAGACTTATTTGTATTTGATTACAAGTAAAACTCCAAATCCAGAAAAAAAACATTTTTGGAAAGAAATAGAATATTTGTTATTTCAAGTGTGAGCCAACTAAAGATCTTCTGTGTTTGACTTACATCAGTTTGACTCATAAGAAATGTTGGTAGAATGTCCTCATATTTTCTACCATTCTTATCAAGAGCTTTGTTTGACTACAAACTGATAGAATTGAAATATAACAATAGGCCATGTAAAACAACAACAAAGAAATAACTGAGAAATGATAACGAAAACTGATGCAAATTCTGATTAGTTAAAAGTATAATTATAATTACACTACTCAATAAAATTTATGAAATTAAAAGATTATCATATTTTTAATGATTGCATGACTGAAATAAATATTATATCATTTCCATGTTTCTCTTTGAATGCAATATATCATCACTTTTTCTAAATGATGATATGTACTATTTATTCATTCTCTTACCCATACAGTCATTATTATGTGTTAGCTCAAATCCTGGATAGCAGAGGCAGTTATATGATCCAACTGTATTTTTACAAGTTCCATTCCCACAAGGATGTCTTTCACATTCATCTACATCTATAGATGGAAAACATTAATACCAAAAAATTATTCACGGTACAATTAATTTTCTTTTTCTTTATGTGTTTTATTAAGTTTATATGGCTCTCAGAAAACTATTCTGGGCGGCTTACAGATCTCATTACAGTTTTGGGTTAAAAATTAATAAATGAACAACAAAACTATAGCAACAATCATGATTGTCATAATTTGTCATATAACTATGCTCATTAATAGAACAAGTATCTTATACCTCAGGAGCAATTAAAAAACCATATATCCCCAAAAGTCTTGTAGAACATCCACGCTTTAAATACTATTCTGAAATGGTAGCTATCAAAGAAGTCATCCTTATTTCCATGGGTATGCTATTCATGCAATCATAAAGCTGACTGTCACATTCTCTAAGAGTTGGGCCCCACAGCAAGACTTTTTTGCTTAGTCTTACTGGGCAAGCAGATATTGGTCCTACAGATATCCAAGTCCTCAGGCATCAAGGCTTTAAATTTGAACTGGATTATCCTAGTATTATGAACTGTAGGGCTATAGATTTTTACAGCTTTACAGATTACAGATTAACAGAGTTGAAAAGGATCTTGTAGGTCATCTAGTCCAACCCCCACCCAAGCAGGAGGCCTGCACCATTTCTGACAAATAGCAGTCCAATCTCTTCTTGAAAGCCTGCAGTGATGAAACTCCCACAGCTTCTGAATTTCTCCTTATTTCTAGGTTGAATCTATCCTTGATCAGCCTTGCTACGATGCTTTGTACTTCACCGAGGTTTTAGCTTGATTCAAATCTTTTGTATAAATAGGCTGTATTAATTGCATATTTTTATTTGCCTTATGTTTTTATTAATATGTGTGTTATGTAGAGTCTCTTGTCTGAACTTTCTGTGAGGTCATGTCTTTCAGAGTAGTTTATGGGTACTTATAGGGTGTGTTTATTGATGGGATAATTTTCCCTATTCAGCTTTGTTCGGAAAGAAAAAGATTAATCTCTATTCCTGAAAAGAAACTGGTGTGAAAAATCTGACTAGTTCCTGTGTTTATTGTTCTGGTAATTGGTTTAACAAGCAACAGCTACTGTTGTGATTTAATTATTTGTATTGTGTTTGAATTTTTTCCTGCCTCATGGTTTCTTTTTCTATCTGGGGAGGGGGTCTTCCTTCACTGCTTTAGTGGTATCTGGCACTGTCCTTTTGGGGTATACTTCCAAGAGGCAGGATGCAAGCTTGGCACTGGTTTTTTTACTGCCTTTCTGGGGGGACATGTGACTGTTCCTTAAATCTAGATGATTTCCTTAGGATATCTTGTGAGGTGAGACCAGCTGGTATCTTTAAGTGGTGCAAATGGATCTAAGGATTGCTTTTCCTAGGTGTGCTCTTTCTGGAGAGCTTAAATGACCTCTCTGCTAAACTTTATGCACTTTATGTGCAAGAGTTGGCTGCTGATAGTTATCACTGTATTCTAACTATTTTAATTCCTCAAGGTGCCTTGGCACCCTTCCTGATTTGTCTCCAGCTTGCAGGTATTTTTAATCTAATGATTGGTATTTGGAGCAGCTTTTTCCAAGCAAAGAAGCTTTTTGTATTTTTGTATAGGTAATCCCTGACTTACAACAGTTCATTTAGTGACCATTCAAACTTACAATGGCACTGAAAAAAGTGACTTATGACCATTTTTCACACTTATGACCGTTGCAGCATCCCCACCCTCATGAGAGGCCAGGTGAGTAGAAGACCCCTTGACTTGAGTGATGTTGAGTTGGCCACGCCCACCCAGTTACATGATCACCAAGCCACACCCACAGAACTGGTTGTTAAAAAATTTGAATCCTACCCCTGTGTACAATATGAGGCTGTGCGATGGTCAGGGTCTCCATCCACTCTTTTAGCAGGAATCATGAGACCAAGAATAACTGCCTAGCTGCTTCATATGACGTAATACAAAATCACCCGGGACTAAAGAAGAAATGCTACTAGAAACTACAGTATTATTTTTTGCATCCAGAGCCATTATAGCTTGTAGGAATTGAGGATAAGCCCATTCTTTCTCCCTTAAATCCTCCAAAGACTATGACAATTTCAGCTGGATTCATAGTTACATCAGAAAATGTAACTGAGTATTACCAATTTACTGATCTTCTCATGCCAATCAATGTTCAGTACCAATAGTGTTATTTGAGTTTATTCATATAATACAGTCTTAACCAATATTTGTCTATCTGAGAATCCTGACAGTTGTAATCTCCACACCTCTGATAAGTAACAAAGCTTGGCATATTTCATTATTACGTTAATTATTACATTTTATCTGTACATATAAAACTTATAATTCTCTATTATACTCTACTGTTGCCATCCTATCTTCAGCATCACAATACTCTAGATTTATTTAAGAATTTTATATATTTATTCACATACCCATGCACATTGTTTGATCACGGGATGCCTTAAAACCATTTTGACAGATACAGTAGTAACTCCCCTCTTTATCCACACATGTGCCATGACTACATACATTAGGTATTTCCTGGCATTCATTGCGATCTAAAACAAAACATAAAACACATGATGTATATATTTATCTATGGTGTTATGATTTATCTATGATTCATAATTCCACTTTTAGAATCTGTTAATGATTATTAGAGTCAAAGCCTACTCCCTTGTCAAAATTGTTCTATGATAAAGCTCTATTCTCGGAATCAACAATCTTTGAACAAGCTTTATTTTCTGTGCATGTTAAAATCAACATATTGGCTATATTGAAGGAAATTACATCACCAATTTCCCAACTACATTTTTCTGTTTATGAATTTTAAAAAGGGTGAATTAAATGCAAATTCAGTATAGAAAACTGGAAAATATGTAAAATGAAAATTAAGCAACATGCTGACCATAACTGACTCCTTACCAATGCAAGCACCATTGGGTGAAAGTTTGAAACCTGTAGCACACTCACAGCGGTAACTACCGGGGCTATTGATGCAATCTGCATTTCTTTGACAGAGATTATCACCATTGCTACATTCATCAATATCTGTAACATCAATAATCCATTATTAAGAATCAAGATATGCGTTTTATCGCAATGAAACTGTCAGATATTTTCTATATTGAACAAGGAACAGTGAATATGAATCAGGTAAAGCATGTTTATATTCCATTAATTTTAATCAAACAATTGTAAATATGTATTGTACATTCCAGCTAAAATCTAAAACCTAAATACATTTCAGATCAATCTATCTGCCTAGTATTTTACAGTACCTATATGCTATTAAGACATAAATATTTTAATTTGCTTGTTAATAAATAAAAACAAATAGTAATAGATTATCAGTATTAAAAATTATTGAATAAATACATCATTTTGCTTATAATACAGCAAACTATAGGAAAATTAACATAACATTTCATAAGCAACATTGATGCTTATAAAGCATGTCATTATCCTCTTTTCCCCGCAAGTAGGACATCAAATTAACAAGATAAACATTACCTTGCGAAATAAGACAAAATACAACTGTCATTATACATTAGGAAAAGAATAGTAACTCATAAAGTTTAAAACTTAACAATCTGGAGACTAATATTCCTGCACAAACCAAGCCAAATATTCAATGAAACGAAATAAAATCAATTTTTAAAAGACAAGCTTCCTTTTATCTTTTCAATAAACATTAACATTCTTATATATTTTAACAATTGGACTGTTTTAAGGAAACATTCACTCAGTTCCAAACTATGAAGGAATATGCACTATCATTCCACAAGCATTTTTCTGGCCCACTCAAACACAGTAGAATGATTGTGAGATAATGGTAATTTGACAATGCAAGTGTATAAAATCTGCATACACTTGTCAATGCATACACCTAATCATTTGCACCAGCTTGAAGCACATACAACTGCTGTAATGGTCGGGCTATATAAGAAAGTACATCACCTTCACAGACCAAGAGCAGATCATTGTAGCTAAATCCTGTGGGGCATTCACAACGAAAACTTCCAATCTGGTTGATGCAAACACCATTTGCACAAATACCTGGAATCTCTTTACATTCATCAATATCTGAAAAATGAACATTCATTAATCTAATGTATTGGTGTATTTTATTGCAAATGAGTGACTCATTTTAATGAGGGATGCTAAGCTGACAGATACGTGCATATCTATATATGTAAATATCCGAATGAGTTTCAGGTTATCTTCAAAATATAATTTGGGGAGAGATTCTTGAGAAAACATTGCAATTTCCAAAACAGCAAGCAACAAAAGTCAGAATTTTATTACTGACTTGATTTTTAAAAGATAATTAAAAATAGAAGAGGTTTACTTATCAGTCTCTTACGTTATTAACTGTAGTTTAAAAAACACACAGCTTTCAGACTTACCAACTGCTTTTCCAGTATGAATGTCAAAGGTAAAACCAGGGATATTTCCACATAACGTTCTGAATTCAACTTAAGTAACAAAAAGGGGAAAAACTTATATTTATGGCAAATCTTTTAAAATTACATCATAGTTTTATTTTACAATCCTTGTATTTAATTAATAACTATCAACTGGTATCAAAATTCTCTTGAGCCAAGCCTATATATTCCAGAGACCTGTAGAAACTTTATCAAATAAAAGCTCATCTTTAATTCTCAAGTTCTTCTCTAGACTGAAAGTTTTTTCCTGTTCTTTTCCTGCTATTGTATGGTATTTATCTGTTTTGAACTAACTTGAAAAAAAATGTCTGAGTTATTTGGTATGAGGAGAAACTGAGATTACTTCCAGAATAATCCAAAGAGAAAGATCACCCTTATTTTTGAGATCTGTGATGTTCCATATATATGAATAAAGCCTTCAAAGACATACCCTTCTGATTGTATATGTATATTGTATTTATTAAATTATAACTAATTTTAAAAATTATGTTTGCACAATATATTACCTCATAAAACCACTGCAGAGGATTTCCATATTATTCTTATGATATGTCAAATTCACATCTGTATAATATTTTATTCCTTATCTTTGTTCAAGCCACTTATAATTCTTTTTGTTTATTATTAAAATTATTTATTTTATTTGTTACAAACACTAACAAAGATAGTATTCCCTAAGTTAACTAAAATAACATATTTAATATGCTAGAAAAGAACATGCATACTGTAGAAAATAAATAAAATTCACTGCAAGACTTGGACAAACATACCGTTATTTTTAAAAATAGTACAATTATATTTCAGTATTTTTTTAAAAAAATAGTTGTTTCATATCACTAATCTAGTACTTTCCTGCCTTGGGTTAGTAAAAGAAACACCAGAATCACTAGGAAAGGAAATATAAAAATCAGTAATTCTGAAGAAAATACTGCATTATAAACTTCTGTCTTCGATATAGGAATATTTCCTTCAGCCAAAACAATTCAGTTATTAACTACTGATTAGACACTGCAAGATAGGATTGTAGAAGGAGATGGTAATTGTGAATTCCTACCTTTTGAATTATTCAGTTTTCCTATCAAAATGCAGCAATGGGGAGGAAAACATTAATCCTGTTCTCTGGAATATCCTACTTTCCCACTGTAAGATCTGTCTCTATCCTCCTATCCTTCTGCAAGAAATCTGTCTCTACCAATTGGCCTGAGGATCTAGTGGGGCTGTACCACACTGGAGGTGGCTACTAATTTCCCCACCTTACCCATCCTGTTAATCTCATAGTACTGTATTTTTATTGTTTATTTTATCGTTTCATTATTTTGCTACTATTTGGTTTACACTGCTTTTCATTTCTGTTTTTACTGTTGTAAACTGCCTAGAATAGCCTCACGGCGAGATAAACAAGCAAATAAATTCAACAAACAAATAATTAAATAAATAACTGAAGGAGGGCAGCCTTCTTTCACTGCTATCTAAGTATTAGAACTTTTATTTTTAACAAGTTTAACTGCACATGGAACAAAACACAATACTGGGGAGAGAGAAAAAGGTTTTAAAATTTACTTTCCTCCTTGTTGCGAAATTGAAAGTGAGGCTAACATGCTAAAGCTACCATGATACCAATCTGACATTCAAATGTATCATTTGAATATAAATTGCTCACGAAAATTTAAATAAATTGTTACCTGTCCCTGGAGCTGGGCATGGCTCACACAGCTTGTTCCAGGCTTTCCCAACATTGTAAGTGCAACAACACATTCTCTTGGTAATATTAAAGGGAAGTTCATTATCACAAGATGTCCCATTGTAGCTTCTATAACAAAAGCTCTTTCTCATATCTAAATATATAAAAATTACATACTTTTAAAAATATCTTGGCGAGTACAATAAATGTTTGGTTCAGTATTTATCATGCTAAGATATTTTGACCTAAGAAAGCTCAGTTTTATATGAAACAGAGCAGAAAATATGTCAGCCATATTTATATCCCATTATTTATTAAAGCGGGTGAGGAAAAGAACAGGATAAGTAGGAAACTGGATAATTTTTGTTTTTAGTTTCTCGAAGAAAAACACGATTAAGAAAGCTGAGATTCATGTAACTTTTCTTTTTATATTGGATCAATCTGACCTGATCAAGCTCCAAAATGTTTCATAATTACAAAATCAAAGAAAGTAGGAATAAATAATTACAAATGCATCATTAATATTGGACAGCTTATATTATTGACTCTACTTTAAACATTTTTCCAATACTCATTGTTTCAAAAGTAATTTGGACAGAAGGAAGTATAGAATGTTTTAGTTTGGTTTAATTTATTAGTAGAATATCTAAAACTGATGTGTAGTTTGGGCCTGTATGTGCACATATACGTTGGCATACCAACTAATAATAAATATGAATAACCCTATAAAATATATAAAACCTTTACTATATATATACCTTTACTACACAAGGAAACCATGGTTTTAATCTTGCCTGTGACCATGACCTAGCTAGCTCTGTCAGCCTGAGGAAACAGGCTAACCACTTCTGAAATCTTGCCTTAAATAAGATTTTCCATGTGATGCTCCTATATAAATGTTTTGCTTTGATGCAAACCATACTTATAATCTTCATATACAACATACGTTCACCTTCTTGAGTTGTTTATAAAAAATAATAATGGTGGGACATAAATAAAATTAAAAAATAATGCATAGAAATAATTATCAGTGTAAACAGGCCCTATGTTTTAAGAGTTTAAAAAAGTAAATATAGTACATAAGTATGAAAACATACCCATACAGTTGTGTCCTCCATTCACCTGCATATATTCCGGGGGGCAAATACAGGTATAATTTCCTAAGGTGTTATAGCATGTCCCAGGACCACATACACCAGGATGTGCAACACATTCATCAATATCTGGGGGGCGGGGGGGGGAATCAACCACCAAAATTAATTTTTAATTTTAATAAGTAAAAATGACAATAACAAACCAACAATTTAAACATAGAATAGATTGAAGAAATGAAAACTTTCATACTCTATTACAAAGTTCTCAAGGTACAAATAATGGATCTCTTAATCCTGTGTTTGAAATTTTACTCATCTTTCTAAATGACCCACAAAGTACATCAATAGCACAATGTTTTTCCTATGCTACATTCTCACTGAAAATCACTATGTGAACCTGACAGATATGTGGTTGGAAAAACATTGACTCAGAATATAAGTTATCCTTTCCCTCTCTGTTATAGGCCCTACACAGGTAGTCCTAATTTATGACCATAATTGAGCCTAGAATCTTTAAGAAGCTCATCATATGACTTGACATGTTAAGTGAATGCTATATTTGTTAAGTGATTCTATCGTCTGCAATGGCATTTCTTGCTGAAAACTAGCTAACCAATAAATATCAATTTCAATTTAAAATGTTATAAATCATGGTCATGGGGCCATAGGACACTGCAAATGGCTGTAAATGAGACCAGTTACCAAGTGCCCTAAATGTAACCATGTGTCCACAGGGGGACAGGTGTTGAAACTGTGAATCTGGGTGAAAAGTAACTCTGGGGAGGTCTGTCTCTTTCTTTGTGTAATACAGTGATCTAAATACATTTTTGAACTTATTGCTTGAACCTATTCTTGAAGGAATTTTGTGGGAAAGGACAGAATTTGTATCCCATTGGATTATTTGGGTTAATCAGGATTCAAAGAAGTCAGGATTCAATTTCTATTATTTATAAGAAATTCAGTAATGGAATCTACAGTTCCAGTAATGGAACCCACAAGCTTTAATTTATGACTCCACATTAAATACATATAGAATATTCTCAAGAGATTGTGGGACAAAATATTGCTTTAGAATATAGTTTTTCCATTCCTGCTGTAAGGAAAATTAAGACTTTTCACCTTCACAGATACGTGTTTCTTCACTGAGATAGTACCCATGAGGACATTCACATTGGAAGCTGCCAAAAGTATTGATGCAGTTTCCACCTTGGCATAGACCAGGCAGTTCTTGGCATTCATCAATGTCTGCAAAGAAAAAGGCCATGTTTTTTGGCTGATAAAAATTACATGAAAGACTACTTTAAAATCATTAACTTATGCCTTTAGTTTTGATTATAAATCTGCTTACTTTGTTATTACAGAAATCTGGGAGGGAGAGGGGAAGCGGCAAATAAACGATTACCCATGCAAAGTTAAGAGAGTATTTAACTCTCATAAATTTTGGATGGAAAAATATTAAGTACAATATTAAAATACTGAGCACATTTGATTCTCCTACCGAAATCATTACAATTAAATCATACTTTCTATTAATTTCTGGCTTTATTAATTTGATTTAACCAATCTTAGATTTTTTGCAGTATATTTTAATACATATTCAGTAACTTCATTTTCAGTCTTTTTTTTTTTGTCCTTCAGCAGGAACTAACAATCAAGTACAGAGTTGCCAATTCATATTTCTAATTATTCTTTTTCTGAAGTGATGATGGAAATTCTTTAGAGATACCAAAAGTAATAAAATTTGGGCAACTAATATTACCATCTTTATTCCTTTTTAAGAGTAAGACCTGCCAAATCAAATTCTGAGGACCTCGGCATTCCAAAAGGAAATTGTGAATTGGTGGAAAACTTATATAAATGGAGATGATTGAATTATCATCATGAACTAATTTTTATCAATTTTCCCATCTATATTTTAAAATGTTATTGTAAATTTATTCTAAATTTGAAAGTACTTTCTCTCTAACTTCAATTTGTAAATCTCTCTTTCAGAGATATTTTACTACATCTAACTACTGTCAGCAAAACCCATGTACTGAAAGAAAGAAAAATACCTTCTAAGATAATTGTTATGGGATTTGGTCTGAAGCCTTCGCCTCCGGGACACAAGGTATTATATTCACCTAGGGATTAAATAAACAACCAAGAATAAAACCAAGTCATGAGCATTAGTTTCACATGTGATAGAAGCACGGCAAGGAGCTTTGACAAGTTGATGTATCACCTAAGAGAAATGTTTGTTTCCTCATAAGCACTGGTTTATAGAAAGCCTTATGGCTTATGTTATATAGCTACATTATCTGCTATATTAGATATCTGTCCTCCCATCTAACAGAGTCGTTTCCTTACTGCTATTTACAGGTGGGCATGTCTCACAGGGATTCCCCCAGGCTTTTCCCAAAGAACAGCAACAAGAAGAACGACTGACTCCGACACCAATTTCAGTACTGCAGGAGAGACTTCCATCACCTCTTGGTCCATATTTCAAATAACAGTTGCCAACTCTATTATCTGGATAGAATAAAAGAAAATAAAGAGGTGTTGATCAGCATGTCTTTTAAAATGACAATGTACAGAGCAGTGAACAAATTAAAACGAACAACATATGACTATGGTAACCAGTTCTAATTTTATCTCTATTACTTAGGAAATCATTTCAGGTAAAATCCAATTAAATTAAATTAAAATTTCATAATAAGACTGTTAACACCACAAATATTCTTTACTGAGTTAAAGGCAGAATGAATGGATAAATGAATTTTCCATTTATTTTATACTGTAAATATACTACAGTATATAATTTATACACACATACACACACAGTAAATATATAGTTACAATATTTATATACTGTAGATACTGGCTATCTTCATGAAATGATATTAAAAATGTGATATATTTTACTCCTGCAGCCCCTTGTGTGCTCCATTCATATTAAGATGCAATAAATTAATTTAATTATTTCCAAAAAATTATGAAACAAAGTTCAGGTTTTATAAATTAGCCTATGTTTATCAGCGAAATGTTGGAAAATGACTATGGGTAATTCTTAGTTCGGTTTGCACCCAGCACACTCCCAAAAAGTCCTTCAAACAAAATTACATTTTCAGTATTCATGTATTTATCAAAAAAAATTCTCCATAGCCATTGGAAGTAGTACTATGGGTAATTAGCCCAAAGAAAACAGTCTTTGGTTTTTCTAGCTATAGCTCTAACAGCACCAGAATAGAGATGGAAAGTACAGCAGTTATGACTGCACCATGAACGAAATAATTTGGAAGTAGGGAGAGGAATTCAATATTCCACAAATGTTTTAGAAAGGCATTCCACAAATGTTTTAGAGAATAATCTAAGAAGACTTATATAAACAAGTGAAGTACAGCTTGTTTATTGTAATGTCTATGAAGCACTGACTATGACTATCAGGTTGTTTTTTTCACCTAACCTAGATACTAAACCTCAAAATATGTTATCTTTCAAGTAAAGTCACCAGGCATATCACAAAACACACCATGTAATAAAACTGTGTTTATAATACAAATATATATCACATACCCAAATGTATAGTATTTTAAGTGTGGAATAATAATTTTTTTCCAAAGTTCAATTACAGTGCAGTCATAAACTATAATTATGGTTATTTCTAATTGCTTTATAACCTATTTTCCAACTTGTCAATTTGTTCCTTGAGAACCACTTTGAACACAATGCTTCACATTTAGAAATTAACCTTTTTGCCAGCCAATCCCACTGGATTAGCACATTTAATGAATTTGAATCATCTGCAACATGAAACATTTCATTATCATTTTGTACTTGTCTCCTACAATAGACATCTATATGGTAGTCTTCCCTCTCCACTTATATAAAATAATTTTATCTGTAATTCTACATACCAACACAGCCAACTCCTGTTGGATTCAGCTGGAAATCTGGAGGACAGTTACATTCATACCTTCCAGGAGTATTTACACAAAAGCCATTGACACAATTTATAGGATCAGCACACTCATCAATATCTGAAGTAAAAAACATGCATCTGAAATTAATCTTAAGCCTTTATATTCATTTCATTAGGTTTTTTTCATAATAAAAAAAATAAACATACTTCCTTCTTAACTGCTTACTTAATGCAACCTATTAATCTCAGCCAGTTTCTGAAATACTGAACCAATCAACACTTCATTATATTTTGATTCCATGGCTATATTCTAGAAATGATTTTTTTTAACAACCCTATAATCCCTTTTATCAGGGTGACTGAATGGAGCTAAACGTTTACTGGTTGGATGCCCTTCCTGATGCCTATGTGGAGTTCGCAGCAGATATTTTCTCTTTGCATCCTGATAGAGAAACATCTGTTGCTGCCTAGCACTAAATTCTCAACCTTCTGAGGAGGAGGTGAATGTCTTCACTCTAGACCAAGGCACCACTCATATTCTAACAATGATTAGTATAATGAAAAAAGAAGTCAGAATTCTTTCTTTTAACCAAAATCTAATTATGTAAAATATAACTAAATTTCATCGCTATTATAGCATTATTATGGCATATATATATATATATATATATATATATATATATATATATATGGATCTTTGGTTGTTCGGGTTTTCTCCCGCGTAAGATTCAAAGTATCTAGGCAACGTTTCGATGAAGTCTCATTCATCATCATCAGGCCTCTGTCTTTGGCTCTTGCTTTTCAGAGTGATGTGAGGTTGCAGCTGCTTTTTTCTTTCTAACTGTCAGTGGGGGTGGGATTTGAATGGGTGGGGGCTTGGCTGTGTTCTGATTGGGTGGGGGTGTCTTCTCATTGGTGGGGGGCCTGGCTGTGTTTTGATTGGTTGGGGGGTTGGCCGTGTTCTGATTGGCTGGATTTCCTGCTGCCCGGCTTCGAGTTCAAGGTTGCGCTGCATCTCCATAGTTGGTGTCGGCTTGCTTCATGTATGGCT